TTCGGCTTCTGTAGAAGACGTGGGGCTCTGCCTTCCGTCAAGAACCAAGCAGTGGGGAATCTTCCCCACATAGAATGGGGGTTGCAGTGCTAAGCCACCAAACGTCCGCTATGTATATCACTGTTACTTTGGGCTGCTTCCTCTCCCTTGTTCTCAGTCACAAGGCCTTGGATCTCCTTAAATATGCCATGTGTATCTGCCGCTCCTGCTTTTCTATTCCCATGGCAACCACGCTAGCCCAGGTGCTCTTCACTGTCAGGTGCCTCCGAATCTCTGGTACAGACTTGCTGCTTCCAGTGGCTCCCATCCCCACGTCTTCCTCCACAGTGCTGCCGCAGCATTCGTGTCAAGCAAAACAACACGGTGGCTCAAATCTGATCTCTTCCTCATGGAAGGCAAAGGCTACCGGCTTACCTTGGCCCCACTCTCCACAGTTAACACCTGGCTTCTGTTTCCAGCCTTATCCGCCCCTCAAGAAACCTTTCTCTGCACGTAAGCAGGTCCCCAAACACCTTGACGCTTACCACCTCCGTGATTGCTTTTTGATGGTTCTGTTTTCCAGAAGGCTTGCCCCTCTGCTCTCTGCCCAACACAATCTGTTCTGCTGACCTCCCCAGGGAGAGGTGACAGCTTTTTGTGAGCTCCCATGGCGCAAGTGTGCATTGCTCAGCAAGCCCTTTCGTGTCCCATGTCTGCCCACTTGGAGGAAGTCACTGGACAGCATTCTACTGTTCTTTGCATGTCTCTTATAGCCCAGCACAGTGGTGGATGAACAGGGGCTCACTAGGTATTTGATCCTTTTTTTTTTTTTTCTCATAAGAGAGGAGAGGAAAAAAATAACTAGGCACAGGAAAGTAAAGTGCATAAGTCATAAGTTGAGTGTTGACAAGCTCAGGACTTGAGGACGTAGGGAAGCTGGAGTCAGGGAGGAGGGGGACCAGTGCCTTTGGAAAGGCGGTGTGGTTGAGTCTGTGCTCTGTTTGTGTTCCAGACCAAATGGAGTTGGTTTGGTTGTATGCTTCCCAGGTGTACTGAGTGCCCACCTGGTTTAAAGGCTGCTCTGGCGGTGGCCCAGAAGCAAATGTAGCATCATTTGCCAGAGACTCAAGAATGTGTCTGTATAAATAAAAGTGAAAGTGGCATGTGCTTGAGCAAAATTGGCCTCATGGGACATGGATTTACCTGACACACACCAATAGCAAATAAATTGTCCTCACAGCCTGCACCAATGTGGAACCTTGATATGTATCATTTTGTTTGCAGAAAGAGAGACCAGAAATGTGCAGCAGTCAGTAATGTACCCCCCAGGGTGGCTGCTGATTGATGACTTCTCAAGGGCAGCATCTCCAGGGGGCTCAGGGAATTCACCATGAAAGTCAGCCTGGGCCTCCTGCCCGCTTTCCCATTGCCTCATTCCGCTGCTCAGAGAAGTGTTGAAAGGGGCTCTCCAAGTTGGGCTGTTTGCGGCCTTCACAGGACCCCGAAGGCCATATTCACAGCAAAGTTCACATGCAGAAGAATGAGAAGGGAAAGCTGGGAAGGGTCAGGGCACGTGCAGCGCTCAGTGGAGCAGTTTGGTGGAAAGAAGTTGCCTGTTCCTTTAGAAAACTTGGGGAGATTTGGTGATAGAAGGGCATGACCTGTGAAAATGGTTGCGGTGTGGCGGGGTCAGGGTGATGGACTCACAGGGAGAGGCTGTCCCTCAGCTCCCACAGCACAGCCTGGCTCATGTCTTTCTTTTTTTTTTTTTTTTGAGACGGAGTCTCGTTCTGTGACCCAGGCTGGAGTGTAGTGGCGCGATCTCTGTTCACTGCAACCTCCGCCTCCTGCGCTCAAGCGATTCTCCTGCCTCAGGCTCCCAAGTAGCTGGGACTACAGGCGCCTGCCACCACACCTGGCTAATTCTTGTATTTTTGGTACAGATGGGGTTTCACCATGTTGGCTAGGCTGGTTTTGAACTCCTGACCTCAGGCGATCTACCTGCCTCGGCCTCCCAAAGTGCTGGGATTATAGGCATGAGATTCCATGCCTGGCCTGGCTCATGTCTTTCTGCTTGGGGCTTCCCCCAGTGCTCTGCTCTTCCCACCTTACGGGCCACTCTTATTTGCCAACTCATTGATCCCCCTGCAAATACTCACTTGAACTGCAGGGTTTTTTTAATGAACAGCCAGGCTTCTCAACTATTCGGTGAGCTCCCGAGGACCGCAGCTGGTCTGTTCCTTTGTATGGTGGAGGACTAGTTGCACGGTGCCAGGCAGCATAAAGAGGCCTCCCGGAGAGGCTGAGGCTCTATGGCCACAATCCTAGGCTCTCTGTTTCCACGCAAGGGACTTGTAACCTAGGTATCAGTTTGCTCATTTGTAAAATGGATGTAAATGTACCCCAGATTAAAGAGGTAATGTGTAATGCCCCTGGACATAGTAGGCACCCAAACACTGTCCTGATCCCTTCCACACCCTGCAGCCCATACACATTGTCACTATGGGTTGGCACATACTAGGTGTTCAATAGGGCATGTCTGTTGACTAGTGGTAATGAGAGTTGTTGTGTTACCAGCTTTTGAAAGTCTCTTTTAGAGCTGATTTTAGCCAGTGAGCACTCTGAAGCAGAATTGCTGGTGGGTGGGGGTGGGTTACAGGTGGGGAGTGATAAGGAAACAGGTTGTTTAATAAAGGAAGATTGAGGAAACTGATTACTTTGAGCAGTGAACACCTGGTTAATGCCAGGTAGCGACATCTTAAGGGAAAGAAGCTGAGTCCAATAAAGAGGCCAATAAAAATCAATAGGATAAACGTGAGATAGAGGGCAGACTAGATGGAACGCTCTGGAGTCAGCATCATTTAGTCGACACTGAAGACTCTCTTGAGATGAGGCATCCTTGCAGGATGTGAAGGAAGGTGGCCATGGGTGAGTTACTTAGCTTGTCCGAAATGTGCTTCTCTTCACTCTAGCACAAAGGTTAGTGAAACTTTCCTGGAGTGGACGTGAGGGTGGATTGACGGTGCATGTGAAACATTCTCCATGATGTCTGGCACACAGAGTAGTGCCCTTCCACTTCCTCTAAAGTAGAAAAAAGTTGTGTTTTGTCTTTTGTGTTTTTAGTTTGTTTGTTTGAGACAGAGTCTCACCCTGTTGCCCAGGCTGGAGTGCAGTGGCGCCATCTCGGCTCACTGCAACCTCTGCCTCCTGGGTTCAAGCAATTCTCCTGCCTCAGCCTTCTGAGTAGCTGGGATTACAGGTGCCCGCCACTGTGCCTGGATTATTTTTGTATTTTTAGGAGAGACAGGGTTTCGCCATATTGGCCAGGCTGGTCTCAAACTCCCGACCTCAGGTGATCTGTCTCGGCCTCCCAAAGTGCTGGGATTACAGGCATGAGCCACCATGCCAGGCCTGTTTGTTTGTTTTGAGTGAGCTCATAAATGTCCTCAATGATTCTGTCTCTACCTGGATAAACTTCAGAACTTAAGCATTAGTTGTGAGGGTTTGGCCACATAGTAGGGAGAATGAAAAGGCGCCCAGGTGTCTCTTGGGAAAGGAAGTAAGTTGTCTTCAGGCTGAGTGGGGTGGATTAGGCACATGTTTCCAGACTGCTCTCTGTTTTCTCCCTTCTGGCCACCATCAGCTGTAGACGTGCCCCTTCAGAACACATACAGCTATGGTAACAGTGCCTTCCAGCCACAGTGAGTTATATGGACTTAAGGGAGCTTTGGTGGGGGAAGAAAGTGGGACTTTTTCATTAAAACAAGCCTCTGCTGTACAGTGAGGGCAGGCCTGACTGTGTCTCTACACGTGGTGTCATCTGGCTGGCCCCTGGATGGTCGGGATACATGGTTCAGCTGCCCAAGGCAACGCAGACGTGGTGATTTAAAAAGAAATAACTGTTAGGACACCAGGAAACACCCAATTAATTCTTCTTCAATTTGGTTAGAGAGAGAAAAAAAAATGCTTTTCTGAGTTTATGCAAAAGTGATCATGTTTTATTCATTTGGTATAAGTCACTCTAATGGCATGCAGGGTAGATGACGTCAGCTTTTCCATCTCTGCTGAATCAAATTGTACTGAGCCCTTATGCTCTGTTAGGGGCTGGGGAAACCTAGTGGAAAAGGACATGGTCCCTATTGCAGTGTATTAGGAGAGAAGGAGTGAGCTCAGTGAAGTCTGATCCATGCAGGTGTGCAGGTGTAGAGGAAGCGCTATAGGGCCACAGGAGTTGGGGCTGTGATAGAGAAGGTTGGAGGGTGCAGGCAAGGGGTTCCCAGAGGTGCTGATGTCTGGGCTGTGGTGAAATTCACCGTGTGACACTGTCCATGAGGAAGGCCTCAGATGGAGGAGGGCACTACAGGTATAGCGGGGGCATGGCACAGTGGTTGTCCTGGATGTGCAGGAGTGGGGTGGTCATCCACAAATTAGTGTATGCTAACCTAGATGTTGCCCCTTTGTGGTGCAAGCATAGCTGGGTCTTGTTCTTCAACGTGGCTATGTTGTCTTGTCCAAGTCACTTAACTTTGCTCTTTGTAGGTTGATTATCCCAGCCGTACCTAGAGTGGTCTGTGTAGGATCTAAGGGAAGAAATTTGAAAGTCATGGACTTTTTGTTAAATTTTAGAGGTTGGGGTCTTGCTACGTTGCCCAGTCTGGACTCAAACTCTGGAGCTCAGGCAGCCTTCTGCCTCCTGACTAGTGGGGTCTGCGTGCTCGCGCCATTGCACCCGGATGAAAGTCATGGACTTTACATGGCTGTGGCTGGGAGGGAGCTAAGAGTTTTTGCTCCATTCTGTCTCCTTGGAAATGCTGTTCCCAAAAGATGTTACGACCACCCACATGCCTGTTGCCTGTCTTTCCCCCTGTTGCTTTTTTTCTGAACTCCTCTTTTCTGGCTTTTATATACTAGGTTTACATATTCAAATCAAGAAACTGGTTTTTTTGGGAAACGTGCGTAAATACTTACAAGACAATAGGCAATTTTGAGTCAATATACCTCTTATCAAAGTAGTGCAGTACACAGATACTTTTATTGGAGTAGATTGCAGAGAAAACATAGGCAGTTGGCAAATAATCCTGAGATTGAATATGCTCTCCTGAGCATGCAGCAGTGACTCCTATATGCAGTAGAGCTTCATGTGTAGCCTTTGAAGCAAGGACATATGAGAAAGTGGCTGTCAGGGCACCATGGCTCATGCCTGTAATCTCAGCGCTTTGGGAGACTGAGATGGGAGCATTACTTAAGGCCAGAAGTTCAAGCCAGCCTGGGCAACATAGTGAGATCCCATCTCAATAAAAAATTAAGAAATTAGCTGAATGGTTATGCCTGTATTCCTAGCTACTTGGGAGGCTGAGGTGAGAGGAACCCTTGAGCCCAGGAGTTTAAGGCTGCTGTGAGCTGTGAGCATTCCACCATGGGTGACAGAACAAGACCCTATCTCTTAAAAGAAAGAAAATTACTATTAATAACTGCATTGGTAGGATTAAATATAATGTGATTTGAAATATCTAAAACTGTGTTACACATATACTTAGATTATCTAGAAAACTTCACTCTTTAGTTTGGTAAGGATCAGCATGAATACATTTCATTCCATCTATAGGCCCATCCATCCACGTAATCTTGGCCAGCATTCTCAGACTATATCTCTTGGAAGGTGACATAATACCTGCAGACCTGCGGACACTGGTCTTCCTCAGGACACAGCTTGGTAATCACTATGAGAGACAGCATCAATGCTAACTCGGAATTCAGGGCCCCTTTTTTGGTCAGGTTGCCCATCTTGTTTTGTGCTAGTGGAAATACCTCATCTTAGGATGGGCACGGTGTCTCATGCCTATAATCCCAGCACTTTAGGAGGTCAAAGCAGGTAGATCCAGAGGTCAGGAGTTCAAGACCAGCCTGGCCAACATGGTGAAACCCCATCTCTACTAAAAACACAAAAAAATTAGCTGGGCATGGTGGCAGGCACCTGTAACCCCAGCTACTCCGGAGGTTGAGGCAGAGGATTGCTGGAACCCTAGAGGCAGAGGTTGCAATAAGCCGAGATCATGCCACTGCACTCCAGCCTGGGCTAAAAAGCAAAACTCCATCTCAAAAAAAAAAAAAAAAATACATCTTTATTTTTTGTTTTTATTTTTAAAATTTGAAGAAAGTTTTTATAGGTCAAAGGGATAGAAGAGTAGGTAGTGTTACGGAGCAGGATGTAATTGAGTATGTTCAGAGGAGAAGAGGGCACTTTGCCCATGATCATTGCCAGATGTCTAGAGGTGCAAGAGGAGATGGTGCCCCATTTTTTATGGCCACATTTCAGTGGCTTTCATGACAGAGATGATCTGTTTTCTGCCTTGGTCGCAGCCTGGTTGAAGTAAGAGGAGGCAAGGTCAGTGTAGGGGTTACTGAGACGGAGAAAACATGTGGTATGTGATTTGAGACAAATGTTTTCTTAGCTGCTCACGTATCTTTCCATGGTTCTTCCCGAAACTCCATCACAAAAAATTAAATTATTTAAGAAGGGCTTCTAATGATCACTGCCGACCAGGGCATGATGAGACACCTGGATAAACTGGTGGTAGGATACCGATTTGCCCAATCTTTGGTGTAATTTGGCGATCCGTATGACAGCCCTTTCAGAAGTATATACCTCTTCTTGCCCAGCGGTTTCATCTCTGTCACTAAGGATGCAGTGGGGCAAGTACACAGCAGGCACAGGCATGGCTCCCTCCTGCAGGTCCCTCACCATAGAGATGACTGGTAATAGCCTAATTCCCAAAAACAAAAAGAGGAGGAAGCCACGTGACTTTTATGGCCTACTCTCTAAAATCACACCTCATTGATTCACCTTCTTTATTCATTAGGGGCGAGTAATTAAGTCCAGCCCACACTAGGAGGGAAGGGAATGAAGCTTCACCTTTGAAGGGAGGAGTAAGAGAGAATTTGTGGGCATAGTTTAAAACAGCCACAAATACATGAAATTATGTTTAGTCTGAGCATGTTAGTGTGATTCAGATCTACCTGCTGGAAGCTGTCTGTCTTCTTGGTGGGTAAGAGAGCAGCCGCAAAGGATGGGGCATTTGACTTTGACACTAAGAGGTACTTGTATAACACTTACGGAGCAGAAAGCCTCTCAAAGAGGACAGGGTCATTGGAGTCTGGAAGCTTGGTCCTACCACACATTGCTCGAGGACTTGGAGTAAGTCAGATGGCCCCTGGGCTTTCCTATCTGGTTATGCTGAGGATCTAATAAACCAGTGCAATTGGAAGCACTATATAAAACTGCAGAGCAATTCATGAAGCTGGCTGTTACTATCATTACCACTACTGCTACTGCTGGAACAGAGTACCAGTGTGGGAGATGGGGAGGGGTGGGACACAGAAATAGACCAGGGAGTAGAGAAAGGGATTTGAATACTATTGTAACCAGATCAAGGTTTCCTAGGGTGGCTCTGAGGCGGGAGTGGAGGCAGCCTGCTTTGGCTGAACTCACATGAGGCCATGCCATGACGATCACAGGGACTTGTGTGAAGGACTCCTCTCTTGGGTCTACCAGAGCTCTAAGGCCTGGTCCATGAAAAAGGCGTCAGTCAGGGTGGAATGTCCCAAAAAGAAAGCAGCCCTGAATCTTCTCAGCTAGACCATATACCCAACTCATTGTTTCAGGACTCACGTATTCCTTCCCAGCTTTGCGCCAAGCCCTGTGCTAGGGGCTGGGGAGACAGTCCAATAGGCCACAGAGCCTTCTCTTCAGCATCCGAGTCCCGCAGGGCAGGCAGACTGCAGCCGTTTTGAGGGAAAGGAGACAGAGCTTTGACTGGTGGCTTTATTCCCTAAGCCTGGATTGGAGCTTTAGGAAATAGTCGTCTCAGATGGCCTTATTCTCTCAGAGGTCAAATAGCTCTGAAAACTTTGTCTTTGGAAACTAAACTTTTCCCTCCTAATGATATTTATAGGCTTCTAGAGTGTTAGGCAAAGATAAAGCCAGGCCATTGCATTTAGATAATTATAATTGCCACTCCTCCTTCCTTCCAAGTCTTTTTTAAAACTCTTTTTTTGAGATAGAGTCTCACTCTGTTGCCCAGGCAGGGGTGGAGTGGCACAATCATGGCTCCCTGCAGCCTCAATCTCCCCAGGCTCAGGTGATCCTCCCACCTCAGCCTCCCAAGTGGCTGGGACCACAAGTGAGCCCCACCACATCTGGCTAATTTTTGTAATTTTTTTTTTAGAGCCAGGGCTTCGCCATGTTGCCTAGGCTGGTCTCAAACCCTTGGGCTCATGCAATCCTCCCACCTCAGCCTCCCAAAGTGCTGACATTACAGGTTTGAGCTACCATGCCCAGCCCCTTCCAAGTTTTAATGGCCAACACTATAGTTTCTGAAGGCCCCATGCTCTCTCAGAAGTGGCGGGGCCTGTGGCTAGTGCTGTGCACAGCATTCCTGCCTGAAGTTCCATTTGCTGTTGATCAGGGCAGTGTGTAGAAAAGGCGGGCGCCACATGGGGAGAAAGCTGTGTGGCAATTGGGTATCTTTTCATTTGGTTATATTTCAAGCGTGAAGGGGCTCCAAGTATCCAGAAATAAATCTTTCTTCTACTAGCCCAGGCTTCTACTAGCCCAGGCTCAACTATGAAAGGTAAGTTACTTTGACTTAGCTGTCTGTGACCTCTAGCCATATATCACACAGTAAACCAAGTCACACAGTAAATCTGTTGTACGTTACTAGATCTGCTAATGTACAACAGATTCAAGTGGGAACTGTTGCTTAGGATAAAACGCAGTTGGCGAAAACCCAGAAAATAACAAGCATTGATGAGGGTGTGGGGAAATGGAAACTCTTGTTTGTTGTTGGTGCACATGTGAAATGGTGCAGCCCCTGTGGAGAATGGCCTGGCATTTCCTCAGAAAATTGAATTACCATATGATCCAGCAATTCCACTGCTGGGTGTACATCTCAAAGAACTGGAAGCAGGAACTGGGTCCGATGGATACTTACACACCAATGTTTATAACAGCATTATTCGTAATAGCCAAGAGGTGGAAAGAACCTGAATGTCCATCAATAGATGAACGGATAAACAAAACGTGGTATATGCATGCAATCAAATATTATTCACCCCCAAAAGGAGGGGAACTCTGATACATACCACAGCATGGACAAACGTCGAAGACATTATGCTAAGTAAAACAAGCCAGTCACAAAAGGACAAATATTCTATGATTCCATTTACAGGAGGTCCTAGAATAGGCAAGTTAGTGGAGGTAGAAGGTAGAATGGTGGTACCAGGGGCCAGAGGGAGGGCAGAATAGAGTTAGTGTTCAATGGTATAGATTTTCAGTTTGGGAAGATGAAAAGGTTCTGGAGATGGATAGTGGTGATGGTTTCACAACAATGTGAAGGCACTTAATGCTAATGAATTATATACTTAAAAATTACCATTGTAGTTATTTTTGTGTAATTTACCACCATAAAACAAAAGCTTTTTTTTTTTTTTTTTTTTTTTTTCCTGAGACAGAGTCTAGCTCAGTCACCAGGCTAGAGTGCAGTGGCATGATCTCAGTTCACTGCAACCTCTGCCTCCTGGGTTCAAGCGATTCTCCTGCCTCAGCCTCTTGAGT